ATCTCTGTGCGTTCTCCTGAACCAACCTCAACCTCACGCTTCACCCTTCGTGTGTCAAGCGATTCGGCATCCGAAGTTTGCGGTGTTGCTGGTGTCGGGATTGCGCTAAGTGTTGTATGCGTGCTGATATTTTATCTTTGAGGGCATATATAAGCCTCTTAGCTTCTAACACAAAATGGTGAAAAAGCTATACCACGATCAGCATAAATAAAAACACAATAATATAGCATCTTAACCAATCACAGAAAATTCTGACCAGAGAAAAGCTTACCTGGGGCACTCAGACATTCATGAACCGCGATGCATCCGGAACTCGTCGATGCGCGCTGCACAATACGCCTCCAAGCAGTAGTGTTTCTGCCAACCACCAAGTATCGACGCATTGAGCCCGGCCTGGTTGTTGTCGATCCTGATGTAATTTTAGCGCGATATTGTTGCTGCTGTTGACGCTTCAACCAGTACTCGTTGTGTGTTTTGCTCTCCTTGGAGAATACGTGGAAAAACACCTCACTCAAATACGCACCATGACTAACCAGAGAAGCTGGTGTACCTGGTCCAAGTGGAGTGGACGTCAAGTTTTGGTTCGGTTTGGCGGACCCCGCTTTATCGGTCAGAAGAAGCGAGCCATCTGGATCTGCACTTGCACCAATTTGTTTTAAACTGTTGCCAAACGGATTTAGAAAGTCAGTAAGGAACTGATCCATCAGAATGCCTGAAGACAACTGCACTTCTGTTTTCATCACCAGCGGAGTGTCGATGCGTCTGCCCTCTCCAAACCACGGCAGCACGACGGCGGCGAAATGCGGATTCATTGGCACACATGTGCTTTTGTCGTTGAATTCAGTCGAACTCTGATTAGGCCTCAAAACACCTTCAAGAAGTTTGATGGGTGAAGTAAGTACGAAGAACTCCGTTATCAAGTCGTACAGACTGTGTGTGACGGCTGTTCCAATCCGGGTTTTTAGTCCATTCATATCCGCATCACCACGTTGCCACAGCCGAAGTGAGAGCATCAAACGCGATCCAGAGGCAGAATCAAACGGAGCTGGTTGGTCTCGAGACCACTCGCAGACATCAACGATTGCCTTCTGATATAGCTCTACTGTCGTGGTTGTGCAATCCCCTAGTGAGGGCATAGGCTCGATAGGCAAAGTCCAGTCGGTCACTCGGTAAGGATGGGTTCCTACAGTCCCGTCGGTATTCGCACTAGAGATGACCAATTGGAATAAAAGTGTGGCCACGCCTGGCTTCGCTACACCTTGAGCACGAGGACGATTATACAGAAACCATTCCATGAATTGGTGACCAGTAACAGATTGTGTATCTGAGTCTAGTTTCACTGCTGCGAGAAAGAGTAACAGATTTTGTCGTAAGTAGTGACAGAAAGCCAAAACCAATTGATGTGGACCGTAAGGCACATGTGGGACCAATTCCGTTGGTTTATTCAAGAATCGAGGCAGAACAATAAGACACTCATGTTGTGGACAACTGGGTTGGCGATTCGATAGAAAATTTAAGTCCTCTACAGTGAGACGATTGATGGCATTGCGTGAAAGACCATCAGAAAAATGCTGCAGTACTAGATCATCCAAGAGTTGTTGAAGTATTTGCCGCACGAAATTGCACAAGCGAAGACTAGGTGTGTCGATTCCGTGTAGAGTAATTTGGAGGAAAAGATCATCTGAGTTTCGGGAACGGGAAAGAAGATGATTTGGAGAGAGGGACTGAAGAACTTTCGTTATCCCTCCAGCCGATTTAGAATCGTCAACACCAGACATCTGTGGATCATCCATGGAGTCAATTTCACCTACTCCTGTATCTACCATAAGTGATGGATCCAAACGACATTTGTCATAAGATGAACCTCCGGTCGTATCTATCTTGAATGACTGAGGGGTGCCCTCTTTAAGTATCATATAGAAAACTGGGACTTCATCTAGTGAGCTGACTGTTCCGGTAGGCAACGAATTTTGAGCAGTAGCACCCACAAAGCCAGCGGACGGTTCGGAACTCAACCCGCTCGGTGCTTGGTCTATTAGGAAAAACATATCCGGACGATTATTGATTGCTGGCTTTTCCAACAAGCACCGTAAAGCAGACACGATTTGGCGACCCCTATCCTTCTGACCGACATGAGCTGTTGCAGCTAAGATGCGTGGATGCAAGCGTATATAACTGACCGTTTGAACTGGACAGGCAAAATAACCCGGAGGCCAAGCACCACCGGAGCAATTTCCACTATGAGCTGACACGCGACTTGTTGATGACAGTGCCGTACTACGATTCCTTCTCTCCCTAACAATGCGCGTCGTGCAAACCGGACCCGCGGCTTCTTCCCCTGAAGAGTCATCGGAGAACGAGTTTACGGGAAGTAGCTGCTGTGGATGCTGTGTACGGCGAGCCCTGCCACTTGGACTTTGAAGACCTCGTGAACGCCCGACGGGAGATTTGAAATGTTTATCACCTGGTGCGAATTGGATACCTTTACGACCCACAGCTTGATCTCTAGACACATCAGAGAGTTTAGGCATAAGAAGTTCATCACAAAAACCTTCATTCCGCAGTTTGTTCAGCAAAATCCGCTGATTAACTAACTTCATTACCGAATGAATGCTTTTGCAGGCAAAATGGAACGCAGCTAGGTTACCAGGAGTGAATGTGTTGATCGAGTTGAAAGTAGGGTCAATATCAGTCTCCTGCAAACATCCTAATGGTACTTGCGTCACAAAAGGATTTGATTGATGGAAGAACAAAGACACGGAGTTTGCACAAACTCGAAATATGAGCCAATACGGAAGAACTTCTTGATGGTTGACAGTGTAATAATGCACTTTTTTTTGCGGATGAGCGCGCGGCATGAGTTTGGATCCCTCGGAATTCGTTAATAGCTCATTTGATCGCTTAGTGTGAACCTGGCATGGAATCCGAGCAGGACATGAACCAGGCATAAGCCCATCACATCCCTCTCCGAGGTCGCTTGTATCCCCGTCATAGCCCAAACTACTCGGAGCATGAACACTGGCTGGATTGTATTGCCTTGATTTGGTTTGCGCTGACTGAGAAGAATACCGACGAGGGTACATTCTAATCGGGGGACTTTTGGGGGCCACTGACAACCCATTATTCAGATCGTCCATCGTTCGAGGAATCCGTGATGGCCTGGTTGCGAGATCTGACGATCTTCGTCGGATAATTGCGTCCAATAAAGGATGATAGGTTACGTCCGGCTTGTTGTGAACCGACACTGCTCGGCTGCGATCAGAAGCGCTGATTCTGGGGCGTGTAGATGTTGAGCGAACAAAGTAGTATCCCTCGAGATACTCTAAACACGTATCAGCTGTAACGAATATCTTTTCAAACTGCCGCACAAAATAAGAGAAGATCTCAGGAGAGAAAGAAACAAATTCTAAAGGGATACGATCGAGTTTTATCATTTTTTCCGGTTCAACGAAGCTCCCGGTGCAGGCATTGATCGTATCGCTAGCAAAGTCTTTTCGATCAGCTCCAGAGCCCGCGAACAAATGCTCCATTTTATTGGAATCAACACGACTCGGACCCATCTGGCACGTTTCCGAGTAAATTAAACCGCAGTCATCAAACATTGGGGTGTAATATAATTTATCTGTGGCCTCGACATGCCGAAGCACAAATTCTATTGAAGGAACCAGAACTGGTTTCAGTGTCCGCAAACTACATACAACGTCATCTTCCATCTGCCACAACAGACGACAGATAAACTGGCACACAGCAGCACGCTGGAACGAGGTTAACAGCGATAATCTGGATTGCGAAGACCATGAAGAAACAACCTCTACTGCGTCTTCAATAAGCAATGGACATGTATAATTTTCCATAGCATCAGTGCATGCGCCAGAACCACTAAGCGGCGCATCCATCTTCTCAAATGGCTTTGAGACTGTTGTTGTTGATTTTGTGTCCATCACTGTTGCATTGAACTCGGAACTGGTTTGCGATTCGAAATGGCGGGGCCAATGCAAAATGGAAATTTGCAATTCGAACTTTAACTGTGACAAGTCGAATAAAGTGGATTCCAACTTATGCGACTTGATCAATTCTTTGAGTGCATTTTTCACTTGGATAAAACAAAACAGCGGCAATCCGTTATTCAGGTGTACCGGGATCGCATAGTTATCATATATAACAAAAGCAACAATCTTAACGAATAATGGTTCTTCCATTTCGGTCAAACAAACGGACGTAGTGAACCATTGTTTAACGATGTGAATCAAATTGGCTTCAGCGACATCGGTGAGATTTCGCTTTCGACTAATCTCATTCTTCACATTACTACCGTCATCCTTACTTTTGTCGCACTCCTGGTTGACTTTATTATCCGAATGAACTGAACGAGAGTGTATATTTGTATCGCGAAACGATTGGTCCAGATCAGCCGCTGCCTCTTCTTCAAAGCGGCAGTTAGCAGTTCGACTGCTGAATTGAGATTTATATGGGCTCTTCGACACAATGAACAGAGTGTCATGTTTTTCCAGTTTACTCAAATAACGGTCCATAATTTGTTGATATTTTGAATATCGATCCCGACAACAACTGCCCGCTGATTTCGAAATGCTACTTTCCATGTCAATGGGGATATTAACTACCGTACCCCATTGGGAGAAATTTGGTCCAGTATGTGAAAGGATCGTCTGAAGAGCATCATTTGCAACCGAAACACCGTTCGCAGACTTCTGTTGCTGTTGTTGTTGGTTTAACCATCTCTGCAGCGGGTACAGGAACTGTTCACATGTTAACAAGAGCAGAGGGTTCAAATCCACAGATAAAACTTTCGAAGTTGCACGAGGTTCTGCTTTGCGTAGAACATATTCCACATCACGATCACTTACCGGAGTGCGTAGATTAAGACAATGATATACCGAGAAGATGAAAGAATCCAAATGTATGCGAGACGTGAAGCGAATAGCTTTACTAAGACTTGACCAAAGATGGTTCAGCTCCTGTGTAAGGCGTAAATTCTGACGGCCCACACCGAGAAATTTATCCGAGGCGTTTAAAGGAATTTCTTCACCAACAGAGTGTGGTGTACCATTCGCTTCTGCTTCCACCTGATGATCGCGATTGTGTCTAAGATCAAAAAAGGACGTTTGAGGAACCTTGTACGTCCACCGGTCATCGATTAGAAAGGATAGGTATACGCGTGAGCACGCATACACAAATACCGGCAGAAATGGTGCGTCCGAAAGAATCAGAGAGCCCCAGTTGGTTAAGTAACGCTTGACAACTTCACTGGACGCATCTCTGTATAGCTTCGGTACAAATATGACTGTGACAAGGGGATTGCATTCCTCCTCGGGTGGAGCACAACCAGCAACTGTATCTGCACTTATCGAACCGGGCAGTATGAAGCACCTCCATTGGGGGTGCTCAGCAAGGAGCACCTGATCTGCACCATGCACGCATAGGCCTTTGGTGTATTCCTCTGAATCTTCTTGGCTCATATATATTTCTCTGGCTTCATTCGCGCATAATAACGACTCGCAGAACTGAGACAAAAGAAAATCGTTGGCAGTTGAATCAGTACCAGATAAATCAGAAGATTCATGAGGCAACGGTTCCAGGAGAGAATACAGTAGCATAACATGAGGCGATAGAGCTGTTAAATCAGCGAGATGTGTTCGAGCCCATTCCACTGAAGCCTCAGGAGCCAAGGAACCCAAAACAGAGTCCAATTTGACGTAAGCCGTTGAATTTCCGGTGGCGGCACGAACAGTCATAGATGATGAGACAGATGAACGAAGTATAGTGTCCAGACGTTCTAACGTAGCATAAGCAAAAACACATCGTCGATCCACGTCAAAAATATGTTTAGAAAGCTCTGTGAAAGAAGAACCCTCCCAATGACGGGTTTCTGTAGAACAGTGGGCCACTCTACCTTCCACGGGTTGAATCCACAATTCCGTGACTAACTGCACAAATTTGAAAACGTAATTCGAACGCCCACTCGCATCATACGGTAATTCAAAAATTGAACAAGAATCTGTTTCTTTCGAACATCTAGACTTCTGAGCGACAATAACTTGCGTGATCGCTTCCTTAAGACGATTATCCAATGCTGAAAAAGATGGAGCGGCCGCTGTCTCGATATCGCTTAGTCGGGCATCACCCAGAGGGTACAGCTGATATTGGACCAAACATTTTATTGCCTGGTCTTTATCGGAGGAACAAAACTCAATTTCCGTCGCTAAACTGACAAAGCCAGTTTGTGGGCCAGCACGTACCAAATGAAAGCCCTCCTGAAAACGGAGATTGATCAAGCTGCAAAACAGAAGGCGTAGGGCAGTATCAGAAAATGTGGTCGGTTGAATAACCCAGATTTTGCTTTCATGGTGCAAGTGTTGACTGAGTAGGGATAGCTCTAAACCAGGACGCTGAATACGACCGAGAGGGCAACAATCCCTAAACTGTTGTTCGGCAAGACGATCTGCACNCACTTTCACTGCGATCGTTACCTAACAAACCGCTCCTGGGTGTGAGCGAACGATAGCCAATGAATAAACGTTTGCTCCATACACCAGTGTTGACAATCAACCTGTCAAGACGATTATGAAAAATGGTGCAGCATGGTGTGTCTTCCCAGGAACGCTGAAGTGGCGGTACGGAACACCATTCATTATTGGGCAACGGTGCTCCGGATTTGTGTCGCGATTTCGGTATAGCTTGGCGTCCTCGTGGTGGAAAGTGTAAAGCCGAAATTTGTTCTCTTAGTTGAGAAATGACTTCATTCTGCATTTGTGGAGGCGTTCCGATTACAAAGCCCACTCTGAGACGGAATTCCGGAATTTTAAGTTCCACGCGTATAACGCAAAAAAACGATAAGTGATCAGAGAGAACGGGTCGGGATTTACTCACAAATCCTACGTCATTTGGCGAAATAGATGGCTGCGTTTCAGTTACAGTAGCCAAATCAGCTGCACATGGGATGAAACGCAAGGTTGGATCATCCAGAAACAGAAGTCGAACGTAGACAGTAGTTTCCAAAAGCGTGAATGTGCACCACTGCGACAAAAAAGCATGTAGTCGATCAAGAGATTGACGGCAAGTCACCGTTGCTGTGTACCGATCTCCCTCGGGAGGAAGGTGTAAATTAGGTGGTAAAGGTGAATCATGTTCCAAAATGCCATAAATGTTCTTAATTTGAAGCCATCGATAGCATTCCAAAAGATCACGCTCAATGAAAAGACGCCAGAAATGGAAAAACTGTGACCTGTTTTCAATAACGGACCCGGCCAGATCACTATTAGCACTAAGACGATGAGCGAGTAGGCTAGGTACCGCAATCAATTTTCCCGAAGTATCGGGAATCACTGTGAACACAGATGACAATCCGCTAGGTAACTGCTCTAATACTTTAGAAAGAGTTCCGAGTTGCCAAAATTTGAAAATGTGTTCAATTTGTTGATCAGTGACTGATAAGTGTCGATGATACATCACAAATCTGCTGATAGTTGATGCCCGATTGAAATTTTGTACAGGATACTTTCGTTTGCAAGTTACTTCATGTAAAAAAGAATAGTTGGCTGAGATTGAAAATGATACCACACAAGTGTGAAGATTGTCAGTTGAAGAGTTCTCAGTCAAACGACTTTTCAAATGCAGGGCCAATGAAGTATCTGATGCCGTTTCATCAAAACCGAAGTTTATTCTCTCTAATTCAGCAATTCTATGTAAATCCGGCCATAAACCACGAATGTGGATTACGAATTTGATTCCAACTTTCCAAAGCATGGTGAGTTCCACTTGAACACTGTGGGTTATGAATTGAAAAGATTTTTCAGTAGTTTCTGTCTGCGTTTCTGTACTGGATTTGGTGAGTGAACCACAGGATTCCGGGTTGGTATTACTTTTGTATCGTAACAAGCGAACATGCCGTAGCTTATAGCCATCCCGTAATCGTGAGAACAAGATGATGGGTACAGACGCTCGAACTAGACGTCTCTGAGTTTCTAATGTTCCATCCGGAACCCAGTCCAGATTTCCATCCAATGCATCATGTCTGCATACTAAACTTTTTGAGATAAGCAATTCCATAAATTCATTCCACTCGTCATGCGGCGCGGTGATTAACTGTCCATTTTCCCAAGTATTGATACAAAATCCACTGCTTGAATGGGCCACCAATGAGCACAGATCGACTTGAGGGAGACAGGCATTCATTCCTATGCTATATGACAATGCTGATCCGTCTGTCTCCGATGACAACCTCGGAATGGATGGTGATAGTTGTCTATTGAGTATCACGAAAGAGCAGCGTATCGCCTCTGACCGAAGATGTGTCAGTGACCGATCGAGAATTTCAACGCCAGAAACAGACAAACAACCGTCAGTGATTATCAACAAGGAACAGGGTTCATTGTTTGGTGCTAGAGAAGAAGCTGTAAGAATGCCATGTTTCAGAATATCTGTAAGGGAATTACAGGAGGACCCTTTCGATATTTTTGCCTGCTTGAATACATGTAGCATTTCCCGTTCAATTTTTGTCAGTAACCGGGAAATGTGTCGCATTTTCACAACCAGCTCACCAGAATTGACAATCCATCCTGAAAGTAGAGTGTAGCATCTCTGACTAGGTGAAACAGCAATAACACTAACCAGAAACTTCAACCGACGCAAAGAAAAACCTGTGCCTGGAAGCACTACGTTCGATATTCCTATCAGTTGACGCAGCACGGATTCCAGTACTCGTAAACCATCATTGATATAGCAATCTCCATCGCAACTGGCGTGAAATATAGAAGAACTCAAATCGATGATTATAACGTGCTTTTGATCCGGTCTGATGCAAAGAATTTTCGAATCACAGTCGTAGGCATAGGATACATTTTCCTCACATTTTCCAGCAAATGGCAGTACAGATACAACCTTGGCCAAACCGTGTAGAAAATAATCCACGGATTCCTCCTGTCTATCTGTTATCTGGCAATCAAAACGGAATGTCCGCTGCTCAGGAGAATAAAAGAACTTGTGTTTGAGGTGGCTTATATACCAAACCGCAAGCTGATCCAAAGTTATCCCAAGTAGGGGAATGACGTATACTTTTAC